ACTACCACTAGTACTAGTACTAGTAGTAGTAGAAGTAGAAGAAGTAGAAGTAGGAGTAGCAGAAGTAGTACTACGACGACGACTACTACTACTAACAATACTACTACCACTACGACTACTGCGGCTGCTGCTCATGCTACTACCACAAGCACTTACCCCTACCACTGCCACCTACCAGGACCCACCACCTGCCATCCCCACAGTACTGCCATTACCACCACCAACACTACTACGACGACTACTACTACTGCTGCTGCTCCTGCTGCTGCTGCTGCTGCTGCTACTACTACTACTACTACTACTACTCCCACTGTTCGGGATCCTCTCCTTTCGACCCCTGTGCGGGATCCTTCTATGCCCCTCCCCTGTTCGAAGTAAGTCCAATCCCTGTTCGGGATTCACTGGACCCCTGTTCGGGATCCCGCTTCGAAAGCCTGTTCGGGACCCGTGTGCCTCCATGAGCTGCTCGAAGTTCTCCGCAACGGCATGCGCCACCTCTCTGATGACATGGCCTGCGTGTCGCCTTACTGGGCTGGATGGGTCCTGCAAAGCCACATGCCAAGCACCTTCAAGCACCCAAAGGAAGTTGGTTCACAGGCGTCCTGTATCAGGGACACGAGAATCTGCTCCTGAACAGCCTCAACAAGCTGTACAGAGGATCGACGATCGCCACAGGCAACAATCCGCGCACCTGCTTCGCACTTGGATCAAGCCGATCCCAACAAAAGCGCTCGCTGCTGTCTGTGGCACACTGCCTGGCAGGCCAATTGCTTGCACGGAGCGAGGTCGCATGCATGTTCAAAGCTCGTGCCTTAAAAGCACAACTGCCTCCGAACGAAGCTCAGCAGGAGCCCCATTCCTCAGTGGTCGACAGACAACTTCCGGAAATCACGCATCTGTTACAGCCACAGTCCTAATACCACAGCAACAGGCATTCCATGTCGGTGCCGAAATTCTCGCCGAAGGCAAGCAGTACCGTCAACAGCTCCTTCACAAGCTCGTTGGGAGCACCTGAGATGTTCTTGGGCAGTGGTCAAACTGTACTTTTGGATGGCCCAGCTGCATTTCATGGGCTTGACTTCCTCTATCCCGTCCCCAAACCCCAAACGACCATGCAAGCTCGATTCAATAACCTTTCCTTTCCTAAGCCTGGGAGGCTCACCCCAAAGGATCAGCCCCGCCTCGGATTGCCTGCTCCAGCCGTTCTTCCGCCGCGCCGCGTGTTGCTCCGTCCGGGCTGATGAAAGCCCTGGGAGTGAAATCAGTTCAAAGACAGGCCAAGAGTGGTCCAAGAGCGAGCTAGGCCTCAGCAACTCGCAGGTTCCCTGGTTGGGGACGCTCATGACGCTCATGGTCCAGACACCTGGCTCGAACAGATCTGACCTTCCAAGCTTCGAGTACTCGGAGCGGGGCGGCCTTGGCCTGGCTGCTGCACCACTGCCGTGCGTGGCAGATCTCTGCAGTCTTAGTGCCGGCTTTTGGGGCCCAGCGATGAAGCAAAGGGTCGAAGTATGCTCAAGCTGTGATGTCCTTGCTATGGCAGACTGTGCCAGGCAACCCACTTGTTGTGCCAGCCCTTGCTGTATGTTCGGCAAGATGCAACATTATACCGGGGACCGACGTGATGGCTGACTGCACTGGCTGGGCAGACATCTGGTTCTTCATGGTGCGAAAGCTTGCGAGGAAACAGGCGGCGGGATGCAACAGTTTTTCGCAATCAGCGCTGATTCAGCATCAAGCGAGTACATTGCCTGCCTAGAGCGGCATCAGTGCGCTTTCTCCCTGCTCGACCCGAGGCACAATCAGACTCTCCTTCGGAGATCGCTGACGCACGACCGTCTACAGATTGTGGCGTCCCGACTGGTTTGAACCAGATCCGGGATCCTCATGCTCAGGCTATCGCCAGAAACACCGTCCACGTCTTGCCGAGCTGATTCTCAGCGCGGCAACCTGCAGCCGGTGCGAGAGGAAGTTTACCTTTCTTTGTGCTTTGTGTTCTTCCAGGCATGCTACTCTCTCGTTTCCATGCATGTGTTTACGATGCGCGGTGGCAGTAGGAGGAAGATCCATGCAACGGTGCTTTCAGCGCACGGCTCTTAGTCACTCCTGGAGAAGTTCTTGGCTGATTTTGACATACTTTAGAATTAGTGGAGCAGCCCGAGCGACAGCCCGAACACACTCAAGGGCACAGCTGCCAATCAAGCCGAGAACAGAAGGCTTTCACGGAAGACAATGCCAACAACATTCAAACACGGGAACCTTAGTCTCTAAGACCCTAAACGCTCAACTCTAACTGCTGAACCCCACATCATCAACTAGAAAAGATCCCCGACACAGGCGGTCGCCTCCTGGGCGGCTCCTCAAGCATGGTGCCGGTTCTGGGCATCCGTTGAGACCGGCCTCGCGCAACCAAACCACTCACACGGCTTAGGGTTTGTTGAAGGGAGATATGACCATTAGGACGATTGCTAAATCAGAATCATGAGAGCCATTACGATTGACGCAGTCATGACTTGCACTATTCTACCTTTTCCTTATGTTACTGCTGTTGCAATATCACCTGGTCGTACTACACAAATATTATCCCGAGTACTGTCAGCATGGCCATTGCAAAACATCATCATGTTTCGATTCACTGCGATCTTGACTATACCGCTGTGATCGCTTTGGCTTCAGTATATTGACGAGTATGTAGTTCTATTGCTGTACCGACGCGAGATAAAGGCAGTCACGATCCTTGCAAGGATGTCGATTTTGGGATCCTTGACGAAGCGTGAGTCGGCAGAGAGTTCGAAACGTGTGTAAATGTGGAATGGTTGTGACATCAACAGCACAGTATCACAATCAAAACAGGTATAGCAACAAGACCAATCACGAAAGTCAAAATGTCAAAAGTGCAACAGATACTGCAGGAAGAAGAACACGAGTGCTGATCTAAAGCTGTCAGCTTGCCAGCCTGGCCAAGTTGGACAGTATCTTCCTCGGCTCCGCATTTATTCGAGACCGTTAACGGTTTCTAAGTTGAGAGGGCGCTGGCTCACTGGGCTCACTGTGGGTCAAAGCAGGAGCTGCCGGGCCCGGTACTCCCCAAACCCTTTGTCTCTTGGGGCAAAGGGTTCTCTTTGACTTCATTGCCGCCAGGCATCTTCTGGTGGCCGGCACTTGCGCCATAGCCCACCTCTACCTCAAACATGCTTCCTTTCACCGGTGTACTGCTTAAGCTCATACAGCTCGCTGAGCCCGTCGCTGCCTCAAGAATTCGCCTGAAGTGAGCCTGCATGGAGCGGGGCACACAGGCCGGCTGGAAGCTGTCTGTGAGCCTCTCGGCCTTGGTGCTTCCGAGCTCTGCAAGCTACCAGACAACCACACCTTCATCTGCTGCTTGTACACCACCACGCCACACCTGCAGAGGTGGCCCACTATCCCTCTCACGACCTGTCTCTACCCTGCATACGATTCGCAAAACACAAAGCGGGCTTGCGGAAGCCCCTGGACACCCCTGCACATGGACTGCTCCAAAAGGCTGGGTAGACCACGATTTCAGCAGCTGGTGCTGTGTCGCACGCAAGTGCTCCTGCAAGAACATGTCAGAACGCAAGAGTCTCCGGATGCCAGGGCGCAAATCACTTTCGCGAGTGGTGCGGTCTCGTCCTTTCTTGGCATTTGGGGCTGCTGGGCCGATGGGGCCTGCAGAAGCAGAAGTTGAGAGTTAGGATGGCAGGATGGAGAGTAGAAGAGAGCCAAGCCAGCTAGCTTTGCGTGTCATATCCAAGTATCTGAGTGTGTCAAGAACAGTGGGGTGGAGCCCACGCAGGGCCGTGTCTCTAACTCGCACACAGCCACCACCATAACCTCCGGCCTCACCCTTACTAACCTGTGACCGCTGACAGGATCATACGACCGGACAACCATCCGTCTGTTCCTGTCTTCCCCTTCTAGCCTCCTCTGGCATTCGGGCAGCTGCTCGATGAGGTGGAGGCTTAGGCACCGCTGGCTTCCTTTCATTCGAGAAACAAGCAGAACAAGCCCACGTTGCCTGGGCCTTGTGGGCCTCGGAGATGCTGGGGGAGAATTCCCAGTCAGCGCAGAACGCGGCGAGCGGGGCGAGCGCGGTGAGCATGGTGACAAGACCTGCGCAATCAACCAGGCAGCTGCAGCACTCGGCACCATCATTGGAGGAATCATCATGATCACCATCGCCACCAACATCATACTCACCGTCACGACCATCAAAACGTTGGACGGTTCATCTCATCCCGGTCGATCCACGCTCTTGCAAGACTTGGCTATCAGGCACGCCGGTGCTGGCTGTTACCGTCGTTTGGCGTCTGCTCGTAGATTTGCTTCTGATCTGAGAGACACTTGCTACCTTGCTATGAGCACATCAAGCTGCTGTTGACTCTGTCCTAACTCAAACTTCGGCAACAAACCTCCGGTCACCAAGTGCCAACAAGCGCGTTGTCTACTCTTCGATGTGACTTTCTGGAAATCTCGAGAGGGAAAGCAGGTGGCACAATCCACGCCTGGCTGGTAGGTACAGCAACAACGGGCATGTTGGTACTACACCGGACACGCTAACATGCTCGGAACTGTTCATCTCATCATCTCAACTCCATTACCATCATCAACAACATCATTATCAACATCAGCATCATCAACAGCACCATCATTATCGTTGCCATGAGCAACTTTATCAACTGAAACCTAAGTCATCACGCCGACCGAGATGCTGGTCATGCTGATGACGACGATGATGATGGCAAAATGTCGCGCTTCTGCCAGCCCCACAAACTCTACTGTACTCTGCCGTGCTTCTCGGGGCCCACACAGCACTTTGCAGCGGCGGCCGCAACCGCTTTTTCAGTGAGGGCCGTTGGGCCAACAGGGCAGAGATCTCTGGGTCCTGTCCCGCACGCTACCACATGAGGTAGCAGGTAGCAGCAGCGACAAGGACAACAACAACTGCTGCTATAAATAAAAACCACCGCAACTACGCAGTAGCCGTCGACATCGTAGCGTAGTGGTAGTAGTGGTAGGAGTAGTTGTAATGGTGGTACTACTACTACTACTACTACTACTACTACTACTACTGCTACTGCTACTGCTACTACTACTACTACTACTACTACTACTACTACTAAGACTACTAAGACGACGACTACTACTACTACTACTACTACTACTACTCCTGCTGCGACGACGACGACGACGACTACTACTACTACTCCGGCTGATACTACTTCTACTGCTACTGAAACTGCTACTGCTACTGCTACTGCT